AAATTTAAACAACTATTTAATGTCAGAATTGAAACTAAAATTTCATTTAAACTCAAAGAATATTCTTAAAAACCTAAAAACTATTTCTTTTTGTTGAGTATAAGTTTGGATAACATTTTACAATGAAAATCAATAATCGTGAGAGAGAGAGAGAGAGAGAGAGAGAGCTAGGTTACAGGTATTGAGACCCTTAAAAAACACTGTCCGCCCCTCACATTCAACGCAACACTTTTGAGTATAATTTCTTATGTGATTGTAACAAATAATACTAACAAATCTCAATTAACATTGTTTTTCGCATACGATTTATGACATCAAAATTAATTTTGCAAACCATGACTTCCTATTAAATGACAAAAAATCACAAAATATTTGCATCAATACTGCAGAAAAAAGTCAATGATTTACAATTGTCTCTAAACTAAAACATGTTTTGTATTATTTGTTGGAAGCGTTTGGTTTCAGAGTTTGGGATTAAGTGTCCGTTGCCTTTGAGACGAGCCGTTCAGTGTTTGTTTCATTTTTGTTATATATATTTACAAAACAAATAATAAATTATCTAATTATTAAATTACTGAACAATAATAAAATGAGAAATAAATGATAAAATTATTAAAATCCTAAATGATTAGAGAATATATTTGTATTTAAACCGATAGTATTTGACGGTCTTATTCCAGAGCGAGTAAATTGTCTTCAGATCGCTGTCCGGGTGTCCAAAGAGGGGTGGAATCGAGAGCTTATCGTTGGAGAGCCAGTCCTCGATCTCGTTGTCGCCGAGCGCCAGTTTGGGCGTGAAGTCTATGTGAGTGACGCCTATATGTCGGGCCAATACACCCGATATGTGGACGTCGTCCACCCAGAAGAAGGGGAACTGTCGCGACGATACGTACAGTTTGAACACCACGTCCGGCGACATGAGAATACCCCAACCGGAACAGTACGGCGGGTAATACTTTGCCGGATATTCCTATCAATGGGTAAATATATTGATTAAAAATGGGACACAAATACAACAACAAAAACGGAGACATACCTTAAAAGTGACCCTCCATTTGCTGCGTTGGCTGCGCTTCGGGTACGGATTGGTTATGACATAACAATTCATGAGATTCTTTGGCGGATATGAGTTCCCAAACGTTCCCTTCAAATAGAAGATGAGTTGAAAGATGTCGACGAAGATATCGTCGTCCGTCTTAAACACATATTTGGCGTTTTGGCAGAAATAGACGATCCATTTGAGACCCATTACGTGTTTGTACGTCAAGTTTCGATAGCTATCGCGAAAGTTGCCCTGAACTAAGTCACCGAACTGTTCGCTCTCTTTCATTAGACTCTTCTGGACGGACGGGTCGGCGACGGAGCCCACGAGGAATACGACACGCATGCGATTGTGGCGAACGTTGCGCTCATTGCCCCACGTCTGGCGTATTGACCGGCGTTTGTCGAAATTGATTGGCGCCGAGTGGACGAACACCACCACAAATATGCCGTCGGGTCCGTCACCGACCGATTGGGTCTTGTCGTGGGCGCCGATTGCGCACCGATTACTGTTGATCACGAACTTAAAGTCAGTGATGTTGATGAGTGCGCTCAAGTCGTCGGCCGCCAGACCGGACGTGTCGTACGGGTTGGCCGACCAGTTGGAGCGTTGGGCGCGTCCGTATGTGTTCTTCTTCGGCAGTTTGTTCGTCACGTATGTGTCGGTTGTCGACAAATACACGTTTAGGACAAACATATACGTCAGGCCCACAAACAGTAAGAGTCCGAATAGAAAGGACTTCATTTGCCGTCGGATTGAATGCCTGTTAAGACACCTGAAATGGCAGACAAGAAGAAGGAAAAGACAATTAGATAAATGGCTAAAAAGGTCGACACAAGTAACATAAGAGGAGTACAACAACTATTAGAAACTTCTCGCAAATATAACCTGCAATATATTGTGCAAATAAATCGCAAAAATAACCCTAAAGTAATTATTCGACGCGTTTTCGGTGATAATATCATTGACAGAGCAAACAATGTTTACTATAGAAACTAAAGTGAAATTTAAACAACTATTTAATGTCAGAATTGAAACTAAAATTTCATTTAAACTCAAAGAATATTCTTAAAAACCTAAAAACTATTTCTTTTTGTTGAGTATAAGTTTGGATAACATTTTACAATGAAAATCAATAATCGTGAGAGAAGTACACTATATATACGATATTAAGTTTACATTTTAACAAAAAATTAATGACATTTTCGTGAATAATNCAACGTAACACAATATATAACGTAAACACTATTATTTGCTCTTTATATCTCTAATTGTTTGTCATATTTATTAATCGACTCGTGATATGAATAGTGTTTTTATAGCAATCTTTGCGTATGTCTTATGAAATGATTTATTTTGATTTCGTTTACGTAAACAATATATAAATTACTTATCATTAGAGTTGACATTCAATCCGAAAAATCCGCTCAATTTATATACAAATCTTCAAACATTAGCCATAAATAAAGTGCACCAAAAGTGCATATACTTTGCCCCCCAGTCATAGCATGTCATGCATTAAACACGAGTTAATAGTTGACGTAAATAATGGCTATAATCTTACGGTGAATACCATGTGATCTATGAGTGAAGTCTAGACATTGAAAGTAATGGGAAATAGTGTTTGAATTAGACATTCAGTGATTGAATGTTTTGTTTTGTTCTCATATCTCATCCCAATTGAAGCGCCCATTCATTAACGCATCCATTGATTACATCTGCAAACCATTTGACACACACTTCACACCAATGAATGCCTCAATTGCTTACCATTCAATAGATTGAGTGCCAATCGTGTCGTGTATATAGTCTTCGGCCAGACATTGAGTTTCGGCCGTTTCGGTGAACAACAATATTGTGACCAAAAATTATCCCAACATTTGTCTCAAACACTGGAAATCACGCGAAGATTATGCGATGGTTTTGATGCCATGGATGTGACACTTGTTTTGGTGATAATGAATGGATGATAATATCGGTGACAATACCCGCCACCGCCGCCCACGAAGAGCACGAAGTGGTTGTGGTTTTTATGGTGAGTTTGATTCACTCATTCATTGCTTACCATCGATGAGATAATACATGTGCGGACACATTGAGTACTGGTATATATAACTGTATTTTTTATGTCTTTGAATTGTCTGTAAATTAAATGTAGTCATTATTTTCTGTACTAAATGTTGATTAACTGTAAATTATATGTATTTTTATTTTTTGGAAATATTTTTTTCCCACAAGTATTAGGAAAATACCAAATAATAGCGAAATTTTCCTCTTTTTAAATACCAATTATAACACAATTCGCAGACTTTTGGACTAAATTTAAAGGAAATTGTGATCACAAAGTGATTCATCGCTCGTTTGGCGTTTGCTTTTAATTTATTGATTAATAATTAATATAAATATTTAGTCTATATTTTGATGATTATTATTATGTATATTATATGGCGTTATGTGTTGTGATAATGATTAGCAAATGATATCCTTAAATATGTGGTGAAATGTCACACATTTTATTTGTTTTAATATTTAACGCTTGTTATAGTCATTAAAGTATTGAATTAAATGTTAATTTCCTTGTAATCGGTGTTTGATTTTGTTATTGTTATTGCAATTAAAAGTTTGTCACAAAAGCTATTAATAAGAAGTGAATAAACATAATATTATTTGCCTTTTTATGTTTATATATGATATAAGATTTCAATTTTGATGACAGTATACTATTTCAGTATTTTTCTTGTAACCAATCAAACGATTGGATCAATTGATTGATTTATTAATTTGATTCGTTTCGTGCGCTCAAAATGTCTTTAGAAAAATATTATTAATATTTTGTTAGTTTTTTGTGTCGAAAAGTCAATGATAGCGCAGTTAGAGAGAGAGAGAGAGAGAGAGTCTAAATTAAAGATTATTCACGAAAATGTCATTAATTTTTTGTTAAAATGTAAACTTAATATCGTATATATAGTGTACTTCTCTCACGATTATTGATTTTCATTGTAAAATGTTATCCAAACTTATACTCAACAAAAAG